ATTTACATTGTCATAGATCCTAGACACAGATGGTTAAGAAACCTTCTCTTTGAGAGAGGAAGTGTTAAATTTCACTGTTAAGCTTTTTAAAACAAAAGTATTTTTAACATATAAATCAAATCTTAACTTTTATATCATAGTAATTTACTCATATACATAATATTTTATCTGTTGTGCTAACGTGTATATTAACGTATAATAATGATAAAAAATAAATGAATAAATAAAAAAAGAATAATACAAAAAATTGTAGCCACACATTTTCATAGGCCTTAAACATAGTAGGTACCTACCTAATGTACCTATAGTGCCTAATGGCTAATACGGCCCTGATGGTAAGGTAGTATTAACATAAAAGTTAGTAACAATAATTATTATAGCATGATATAAATATATATTATATTTTAATAATATAATAAATACAGTATTTTTGGTAAAAATTAAATCAAATTACCGTAAAATACTAATAGTAAAGTAAATTACTTCAATAATAATTTACTAATATCAAAAAACAAATAATTAAAAATATACTTAGTGATATAGACTTGCAGTCTTCGTTCAGAATCGTTTCTTTTTTTATAATATAAAAGTACAATGATAATATATTATGAATTTAAATTTAACACATTTATTTTAAGTTGACGCTTACTATACTGCAAAATGGTACCCGCTTTCCTTAATAGCTAGTAGTAGTATGATATAAAGTACATTATTATATTAATAACACCAATAATTATAATACCCACTTTCATCACACAATAAAATACCAAAAAAAAAAAAATAATTGTAGTTAGATTCAATCAATGAATTGTAAATTGTAAAAAAAATTACTGATTATCAAATTCTTTTAAATAATAATTACCTACCGTAATTTTACATCACTACTTGCCTTCCGGTTATCTATATTTTTCTCATAACTAAAACAAAAACAAGAATTTTTTATATACAGATTAAATTTGTGACGAGTTTAATGAAGCCATAGATTTCAGATCAGTCTGGTTAGTTTGATATTGTTTAAATCATCTGGAATATCCAAAAAAAGTTTATCATCAAAATTTTTAGTCGATAATTATTTTATAGGTAAATTATTAATAATTAAAATAGTCTGTATCATTAAATGTTTAAGCTTTAAAGAACTATATCAAGAGTGTACAGACTGATGAAGATTAGCTTGTAATATAATGTTAAAAATACTCAAGATATATAAGCATAGTTATTTTTATAAACCTTTAAAGTTCAAATATTGACAAAATTCGTAGAAAAACAATAACAATTATAAAATTGTTCATTTTTTTATAGCTAAGAGTTTAAAATGTAATAAAAAGATCATGATAAATATCATAAATTCATAATAAAACCAATAAATCTAAAAAAAAAAACATTTTAACGCAATTTGTTTTGTAGACATTTGGACAAAATTAGATTTTTAAACTAAGAATAACAATTTTAGTTATTTTATTGTAATCCAAAATTATTTTTAGTATGGAATGATAACTTTTACAAAAATTATTATATTATAAATATATATATATTTTTTTAATTAAACAAAACAGATATTTTATAAATTACAATATAACAATATAAATATAAAAAAATTACAACTGAATGGACATAATATAGTATAAACTTAATGTAACATTATATTTAAAAATAGACAATAGACAAAAAAACCAAACAGACTTTATATTAACATAGCGTTTTTCTCTAATTCCAGAAATCCTTATTTGTATACTACACGTATTTAACATTCATTGTATTCACAATTCACATGTAATTTTGGTTAACTTCTAGATTACTAAACGAAGCTTACTTTATAGATTGTTAATATGAATAAATTCGATCTCATTTTAATATCGAATATTACGTCTAAGTATCATAGGCGCAACTAGAGCTCTATTTCTGGGTAGGCTGAATTGTTATCAGCAAACCTGTAGGGGCTTACACTACACCACTAGTATTGATAACATATAAAACTGGGTGGGCTACAGATAAAACTAGATAGGCTTAGCCCACCTAAGCCCCCCCCCTAGTTGCGCCTATGCTAAGTATCGAATTCTTTCCAATTTTTTAATAAATTTATAGTTTTGTGAGAAACAAATTTTGTTAATGTTATAGCCATGCAGTGGTGGCGCCATGATTATTTTCTAAATAGGGCTAATATGAGACAAAAAATAATAAGGTTGGGCCACAAAAAATGAGATTTAAACAAAAAATTTTAAAATATGTATAAAAAATATTTAATAATTGTAAATATTGTATAATTAAAAAATTATACAATAATATAATATTATTGAAGTAAATTAATCTATATTACATACAGACTGCAAAGTTAACAAAATACAAATACCATTATTTTCTGCTTATAAAAAATAAGAATATTATTATGTCTAAGATTAGGCTAGTGGTAGTGCCACTGGTAGGCCCAGGCATTTCTAGTTAGGGCCAGGTTAAGGGTTAGGTTAGGTTAGGTGTACCTGGCCCGTCCCTAGCGCCGTCACTGTAGCCACGAATTGAAATAGTACCTATTGTAATTTATAGTTATCAATACATTTGTTAATTGAAAACAGCAAGATTACAGTTTTTTTCACATTTAAAACTAGATTTCTATAATTTAAATTATCAATTATCTGACTAAACCCTCTGTAGGCTTTTTCATATACACCATCCTAAGACTTATAAAAAAAAAAAGTAAAGAAGTATCATCAGCATACATGACTATAAAGTATAAAACCATCAATATTAACATCACAGATTTTATTTATATGTGTACTTATAATAAAAAGGATTGGTCCTGGTACACTTTACACAACCCTGTGGTACACCATATTTTATTACACAACATGTAGACGATGTAATTTTCCAAACATTTAAATTAATTTCAAGTTATTATCTATTTATACTACCAGCCATTTTTATTTAAACAACTCAATAGTAAGATGGTATTGACTTAAAAATTAATAGCAATTATAAATTATACAAATATTTACTATTATAATATTATATTTGAATAATGATATTATCATAAATTCAATTTTTTCGTCAAAAACTATAAATCAATGTATCATAATGTTAATTATAAAATAAATGACTATTAGCAATATAAATGTTATACAAAATATCATAAACTGAGTAACTATCTCTGCTCTGCATCGTTTTTTGGATACCTACCTACAACAATAATATAATATATCATTGAAATAAAATTAAACACATTTATTAAAGTGACCCACTATCATATAGGTACTATAATATTAAATTATTTATATTACATTTTTATAAATTTTAAAATCGCTCATGTAAAGCCTCTTAAAAACGAATTTATGATGTTCTTAAAAAGTTAACATATCCTGTTTTATTAATGGACTTATAGTATTTTTACAAATAGAATAAATAAAAAGATAATCAAAGGTTAAGTAGGTACCTATATAGTGTTAGTTAACCACCCCTGATAAATACTTTATTAAAACTTCAAAATTCACACATTCACCTTGTAAATTATCGTGATGTACAAATTGTTACAGGTATAATACTATAATTTAATATGGTCTAGATCACTAGGAACTATATCTATTTTTTTTTTTTTAATTAATATTTTGTATTCAGCTATGGGGCACTGCAAAGCCATCTAATACCAAAACGCTTCAGGCTTTTCAATCCATCTGCCTACGAATATTAACGTACTCCCCTTGGTATTTCACAAACAATAATCTTCATAAAGACATAAAAATTTCTACACTCAATCAATTAGTAAAATTATATTATTCTAAATTTCACAACAACTTAAACTCTCACAGTAATCCATTAATAAAACAACTAGCCTCCAACTCATTTCCTGATAATGTACGTAGAAGACTCAAAAGACAGTGACCTAAAGACCTACGAAAAAAAAAAATATATGTAAAAAAACATAATAATATTTAAAATGTACACGGCTTGGTGATGCTACAGAGTGGCTGCCTTTAAATGTTTATCACCTGTCATTAACCATTATAAGTTATCAAATTTGCTTATCGTACTAATTTTTGTATAGATTGTAAATTATTTTAAATAAAAATATTAAAAAAAAAATTAATATTTTACGAAAATTGCCTATACTAAAAAAGCATACTGCAGTTACGCGGTTTTAATATTATTTTTTGTAAGTTTATAATTATAGTTAAGTCTTTAGTCGTAATTTGCTAAACTAATAAACTATCTTAAAACTTAAATACTTACAATACTAAAATTTATTAAAATCAATTATTACTTACATTTTTGTAATATGACTTTAGATAAGTGAATATATTGAATAAATAGGAACAGAATTTAAAGGATTAGGCATACTTATAATAATTTTGTTTTTATTTATACAAACAACAAAAACATTTTATTGTGAAGACGTCACCACACGTCCGATAACCAATAGACAATTTTAATGAAACTTTTAGGATATTTAAAATTTTAAAAGTTGTGCTATTTTAGTACCTACTAACAATTGTTGATAGTATTGCGTAATAATAAGATTAAATAGAAAAACGGGTTTTTGCAAGATAAGCTCACATTATTTAGTAATAAATTTACTGTAAATTTACCCTATGTTCACACAACTAAAAAGTAGAAAACTAACTATATCAATTGTGTCATAGTGTTTTAATTTTTTAATATAAATGTATAATAATTTTCAACAAATAAATTCATCTGTAAAAACTAATAAATTTGGTAGTCTTTAAGCTATCATCTATATGTGTAATAAATTTTGGATAGGTTTCTGTCTATCTAACTATCTTTGTAAATTTGTTTTGGTACAAAACCATTTTCATGGATAAATTATGGGTAGGTATTGTTGTATTATTAAATCCATAAAGATGTATTTTTCTTGACACTAACACTTAAATGTATAAATATTAAGCGTTGCCTCATGGTTATTATTTTTTTTAATTATGGATGAAATAGCATAATTAAATCATTATTATTTTTCTATAAAATCTAAATAATTTAAACGCAATTTTTTCTTTTTTTAGGTTTAATTATTTGTACAACAATTCATCCAGATATTAACCCTACACCTCCGCTAGAATTTCCATCAGATGGATTACATGTAAGGATCGTACAAGCAGTCGAACCTTATAATTTAACTAAGCCACCAATGTTTAATTTTGGAAATAATGAAACAATAACTGATGAACCAACTGACAAACTTCAAGAAGCATTCAAAAATGAACTTAATGATGGAGTACTCAAACCATCTTCACAACCTATCAACGTCATTGCTAAGATATCAAAAAATTATACTGAAAATTATATCGAAAATAAATATTACAATAATCACATTGATAGCTGGACATCAATTACATTAACATTAATTGTCCTTATAGTTTTATCAGTTATGGTGTTGGCATGTTCTGCATTATGCTTGAAAAAAATACAAAAGTGAGTATTATATTGTAATAGATGTTACAAATAAAAAAAAATATGAGTAGATGGACATTAATTGCTTATTAGATTATAGGTATAAATATAGGATTATCATATCTACTTATAAAGTGAATGGTTTACTCTCTGGTAGTCTGATTCTACATCTATACATTTCAAACATATATTTCTACTAGATAGCTATAAATTGATTTTTTTAAATAAGTTTTATTTCAAATATTTGGCTTAATTAATAGATAAGATAATTAAAAGACTAAATTATTAATATTTGTCAGTGAAAATTAAATTTTTTTATGGAGCTTTTATTAAAAAAAGAACAGATTTATAGTTGAATAATGGATAGTTTATATAAGGATGAATAAAAATACAGAAAATAGCAAATAATTGGGTAAATAAGAATTAAATGTATAATACATTTTTTATATTATGAAATCAGGGTTGAACTTTATCATTTAAACATCAAATAATTTATGATATACAAGGTTTCAAAAGGAAAATAGTATCGACATACTTTATTTTTATAATGACAATGTTTTAAAAAAAAAAAAATAATAAGATAATAAGGACTTCAATTATTTATTTTTCAGCTTGAAAATATCAAAACGACAACTGCTGATAGAAGATTATGATGATTCTGTAATGAACGATTTAATACACATTCAGCGTGTGTAAACAATTTACCATAAATAAAGAAATATATATCAATAAATGCAAATATGTATTCTATTTAACTGAATGAAAACATAAGACTAAACTAAAAAAATTAACAAACATTTATATAAATGTATTCAATGATTTCATACTAGCAATAATGATTTATTTTTTCTTAATTATCAATGGTCCAACATTGTCCTTTTGTTCAACATTGTACTTATTATGAGCACCATCACATAAAGGAAATTTAGAGCTTCTCCAACAGCGACAAAATGCTGTACTTTCACCTAATTCTTCAATATCAAAACCATCAACCACTTTTGGAGATTCTTTTTTAATGCACGGGTTAACTGGCTAAAAAGAAAAAAATACAAACATGAATTCATAAAAAACAGGTTAAAATTGTAGTACTTACATGTCTAGGTTTGACAACTCTGTATGAAAGGTAACATACACCACCAATCGTAGCATAAAACGGAATTAATTTCAATATATCTTTACCTATAAAATACAATTATTTTAGGTAAAATAGTCAAAATACGTTAAGTAATTACATATACATTTTATTTTTTAAGAATAATTAAAGAGTGCTGAGCAATAAATAATATAATTTTAAAGGTTTTGTTTTAGGTTTTATTAATTTAATAAATTGTACCTAAATGGTTGGATGTATTTAAATGTTCAAGAATATAATATATTACAATATACCTATCATAATAAAATAATTATTTAATATAATCTTATAAGGTTTATGTTAATAGTTCTTGAATTCAACTATAGAAATAGGTAATCAAGGAACTGATGAATGTATTAAATAGAAATAAGATCTGTAAGAATTATAATCTTGTTAAAAAAATAAAACAAGTAAATGGTTTAACAAATATGATAATTAATTTTATGATTAAATATAATTATTAACTAGCAAGATTTTAAGTACTTAAGTATTTCATTTTTTTATATAAATAAAAAAAGAGATACTTCTACATCTAAATTAATAGGTTGCATTTAATTTACAATAACTAATTATAGGGCCAAATACAGGCCCAAATTATCATTATTGTAGGCCATAGGCAGATGGTTAAGAAACCTTCTTTTTGAGAGAGGAAGTGTTAAATTTCACTATTAAGCTTTTTAAAACAAAAATAGTTTTAACATCTGAATCAAATCTAAGCTTTCACATCATAATAATTTTCTTATATGCATATTTTACTTGTTGTGCTAATGTGTATATTAACTTATAATAATAAATAAAAAAGAATATTACAAAAAAATTGTAGTCACACATTTACGTAGGCTCTAAGCACAGTGCCTAATGGTTAATACAGCCCTGGCCAAATACTACGTTAAAATATAATATTATTGATTATAAATTAATTAGCTAAAATTAAATTATTAATTTTAAGTGCCAGAGTTTTTAAGACTGTTAATAATTAATATCAGCAAATCAAACATACATTACAATATCAAATCATATATACAAATATATTTATTTTTTTATATAAATTAAGATGTTCTTAGCCTATGGCTATCTATGTTTATGGATAATACAAAAAAATAAACGTGACTATTTTTAACGCAATGGTTTTAAATGTAATGTTAACAATATACATGGTGATTAACCTATATAATAATTAAAATCATATATTTACTTACCACCTAATTTGAAAATACCAAGAAATGAATTTGGTAATGGTAAATTGGCTAGATAGTTAGCTAAATGAACTTTCACTAAGTTGGAACTGAATTCCATTTTATTAAAATGGTGACACTAATGTAGTTTCAAAATTTAATGTAACAAAAATATTTTTTTATAATGTAAGGTAATGCTTAAAAGCATTAGACGATTGAAGATTGATTTTTATTTTTAATACGATAGATGTCCTGATTTGTAAATACCTATCAGTCACTTCAGCATACACTGATCGATACACTTAAGGAATTAATTCACCTTTCAAGTTCAATTCTTCAAATTCTAAATGTTGACTGTTCTGAATGTTCTGATAATGAAAAAGTAAAATAAAAATTTAATGGTTAAGAATAATGTAATGTATTTTTACTTCAGTGTGGCAATATGAACATTTAATTTTGTATTTACATAAATGATAACAATTTAAAATTGAGAACTGTGCAACAGATAACTGTAGTATGCTGAACAATTTTCTTAATAATTTAAAATGTCATTCAATGACATATTTTAAATATATTGATTTTAACAAAAGATATACAACTTAATATAATAGTAGCTTAAAACTTAAAAATATTCTATTTAACTACAACCAAGACAAATTTTTGAATTAGTTTTTGATTGGCTACACTGAAATTTTATCTTTTTTGTACACTTTCAGCTGATTTGTCATCAACTTAAGATGTACCACGAAAGAAGTTTACTGCTATAGTGTACAGTACTGACTACTGACTACATAGTGACAAAGTGCAATAAAGAAAATTGATATTTGTATTTTTTTGTTATTATATTTTTTAGAAACAATCGTTTAAAATTATATTTCAAATTGTTTTGTCTTTTATCGTTTGTTAATCGCGTGACCAGTCGAAATTATTGTTGATAATGATTAATAATTTTATACCGTGCATTTGAAATAGGTTTATTTGAATTTGTTGAGTACAACGAAATAAATAACAGCAACGATGTAGTTATGTAATTATCTATAACAAGTTTAGAACTTTGCCAAGTCGCATTTTTTTACGGGTTGACAAATTTGCTGTTACCATGGGGACAATAGCTACTGAAGAGTTTGATCTCATGAAGGATTCAAAATATCGAATGTAAGTAGGATGCTTATCTATAGTTAACTAACTGTATTATAGGTAGGTGTTGTTTTTTTTTATTAATTTAATCTGGAGTGTCAATTGTATGAGTCATTTAATTTTTAACCAATGTGTACCTACCTTAATTTGTTAGGTGTACGCTGAGTCATTAAAATTGTTAGTAATTAATAATGTAAAACTGACAATTTTAACTGCAATATTTAGAATTATCTAAAATTTGACAAAACTTTTCATTGTTTAATATATAGTTCATGAATTAAGTACAGGCTAGGGTATGATATCCTGTAGCTTTTAATAATATTATTTTCAATATATCTTTTTATCATACCTATTTATCTTCCTATTTTAATTACCTTAAACTTAAAGTTGTAAGGAAAGTATTTAATACCTATTTATAATTTCATATAGGATATATACTATTTACAAGGTTATTAACTAGAATTAACTTAAAAATATAACAATGTGATTTAGGTAGATGTGTGTTGCCAAATATTTATATTTTTAGTTGTGGAAAAATATATTACTTATCAACTATATTTTATTAATGTAAACCCATATAACATGTTTCAATGAATCTTACAAGTCATATTTTTATTTATAGTTGTGCATGGTTTTTATGCATTTTGGTAGATAATACTTTGTTAAATCTGTAATAATATTGTGATCTACTTATATATTTTTAAATAACTGTTTTTTGAAATTAGTATGGTATAATGACTTAATCGATATTAAATTAAAATTATACCATTTATACAAATTTTATGATAGATAGTATTTTTGTTAAAGTTTTGATTGAAATAATACATTTATATATTATGCTATATACTAATTTATTAAAATGTATATCATCCTCATTCTATAAATCTTGTCTAAATGTGGTTTTATCTTTTAAAAGTATAAATTATAAAATTTTATTTATTTATAAAGTGTTATAAGATTTATAACTCCCAAATACTTATGTTTATATAATGAAAATAATAATTAATTTGCAGGTGATCAATTTTTTTTTTGTGTGTGTTTACAAGTCATTAAGGCTTCTTGCCACTTCCACAAATTCTTTCTAAACTAAGATTATAAGTTACAATTTCTAATTAACCTCATGAGTTTTCTTGAAAAACCAAATATTCAAGTGCTGTTCACAGTTAGTTCCTGTGAATATTATTGCAAGCCTACTTAAAGGCAATTAATATCATGTAAAGGCCCTTATCAAATTCATAATATTTTCCATTGTTTGTCGTACAGTAGATATATGCTAGTTAATTTTCCTTTCCAGAAGCCAAATTGATATTCACCGAGTAGGTAGTCATAACCTATTAAACTGCTTTAAATAGATTGTTATATTTAATTTTTTGTTACCACATAAATTTAATCATTTAAGCATAAAAAAGAGATTCTTTTTCAAAAAATTTAATATTTGTTTGATCAATAAATAAATCAAATATATAGTTTTTATATAAATAATGAAGTTTAGAGTTGAATAGCTGAGTATCAACATGTATGTTTTTTTCAGTATGACACTTCTACATAATCATTATTTATAATTTTCCAATTATAGTGTCATATTGGAACTATCTGAACAAATTCTAGAATTGTGAATGATTTTACAACCATTGATGAATTTGATGAATTGTATACTAAACTAAATCTCAGTTATAAATGTCAAACTAATAAAACTCATTATTCACAATTTATAGCTTACAGTTATGGTTGTACTGAACTTAGCAATCAAATAATATTAACATTTATCTCCCTGATTACTCTTTTTGAATACAAACTTATCAAAATAAAATGTATAGATAATTATAAATCTATACTACATGCTGGCAGAAGGGAGCCCTTTTTTTGTTTTCTATATGCCGCTCCCCCCTTGAAAAATTTTTGTATTCGCACCTGCCTGTAGAGCTGGATTAATGTATGAGCAAAAGAAAATTTTGGTCCAGGGCAGTATATTTTATATATTCATAAAATATTATATATGAATTATTTGTTGTTTTAAAAAACTGCTTATTGATAAGAGATATTAAATATTTATTACGCTATTGCAGCTTTGATATTTAATCTTGTTCTGACTACAAGTAAACATAACAATTCTTGTTTTAAGTTTTAATATTTTGGGGTGGGTAATGTAATAAAATAGTATTAATTATAATTATTTTACTTAACAATTTTAACTAGGTCATTTTTGACATAAAACCAAAAATAATAACATCTATCTACCTTGATTTTATTTTATTTTTTTTCAATTTTTTGTTTAATATTATAACTTGATATATACTCATTAAGATAATATTAAAATAAATAGTATTAAGTTTACATTAATTATGATTATTAG